CTGATTGTAGGAGGCAAGTTTTCATTTTTTTCTTTTTATTATTTTATTTTATTATTTTTTCTTTTTATTATTTTAAATATTGTGTTAGCTGTGAGTTTTTCATAAATGACCTTATCAAGTTGAGGAAATTCTTTTCTATTCCTAGTTTGTTGTGTGTGTGGTTTTGTTTTTATCATGAAACAGTATTAGATTTTGTCAAAGACCTTTAAAGTGTCTATTGAGACGATAGTGTTTTTTGAAATTTTAAACCTTTAAACACCTATTAAAATGGTCTTTTACTTTGACTGATTTTGCTGTTTAACCAACTTGAATTTCTGGAATAAAACCTACTTGGACATGATGTATAATCTTTTTTCTATGTTACTAGATTCTGTTTGATAATCATTTATTGAGAATTTTTGCATCTAAAATCATAAGGAATTTTGGTCTATAGTTTTGTATTCTTGTGATGTCTTTGTCTGGTTTTGGTGTGGGTAAAATAGTAGCCTCTTGAATGAGTTAGAAACTATTCCCTCCTCTTCTATTTTGTTCTTGTTTTTGGAAGAATTTCTGAAGGCGTGGTGTTAATTTTTCCTTAAACATTCAGAAGATTCACCAATGAAGCCATTTGGTCCTGGGCTTTTCTCTGTGGGGGGTTTTATTACATGACGTGCAAATTTTGGTTGCTAATGACACTAAAATTTTATTTTATTTTTACTGTTGTTTCTGGTTGTTACTTTTTTTTTGTTTTTCTTTTTAATTTTAATTCCAGTATAGTTAACATTCAGTGTTCTATTTGTTTCAGGTAATAGTGACTCAACGCTTCCGTACATCACCCAGTACTCCTCACAAGTACACTCCTTAATCCCCATCAACTATTGACATTAACATTTTAAAATATATTGTTTTCATTTATAATCCTTTTAGATACATCTGAAATTTTAATCCTTGCATTGATCTTTCAATCACTTCATGTATCAGTTCTCAATGTTTTATATAAAATAGGTTTATACACACCCCCCCCTTTCTTCAAGATTTTATTTACTTATTTGACAGAGAGATAGAGAGAGAGAGAGCGAGAGCGAGCATGAGCAGGGGGAGAAGGAGGCTTCTCACTGGGCAGGGAGCCTGACATGGGACTCAATGCCAGGACCCTGGGATCACATGACTGGAGCCAAAGGCAGCTGCTTAACCATCTGAGCCACCCAGGCGAGCCGGTATTCCCCACTTTTTGAAATTTCACATGCTACTTCACTTTTGTGAAAGGCCTACATTAGTACTTGTTTTAGTTACTGAAGGAAATCTGAAGATGATTTTCACTTTCACAAAAAAAGTACGAATGTTGAACACTGCACTCAGCGCTGGTTTTGCAGCAAGTCGTTACAGAAGCAGTGCACACCCCTATCAGCGGGAGTGGCCCTGCCAAGCTCCTTCCCAGAAACTATACACAGTATGTCAGCATCGAGCTCCCATAGCTTTGAGCTGTGAGCATCTGCACTTTATGTACATTTATTTTCTGCATGTATTAGCAAGATATGTCCTAGGGTATCAGAAAAGGCTTTACAAGGTTATTTATTTGGTCTGGGAATACTCAAAAAATTTTCCACATACATTAATGGTAATTGCTTCTTCACTTTACATCATTTCGACTTAATGAAAGGTTTCACAGAAATGGTCTACTTTTGGAGAGTGGAGGAAACCTGTAATACTCTTGGAAAGTGGAAGAAATCTGTAAAGGGCAAATTCTCCTCATTACTCTTATTATTTTAAAGGATAACATTTTTAAAAGATAAAATCATAACTGTCATGCAGACAAAAAGTGAATATTAACATTTATATCTTATAAAATATAGAGTTGATATTCTCTCATTAATTCATGAGGAAACCAGTAAGATGTGACAACAGGTTTGAAAGAGAATTCAGAGCCACACATCTTGAGGCAGAAGGAATGCTGAAGTGAATTTACGAATAGGTGCAGAGCTAGTTTATTCCATAGGTAGAAGAGGTATATTCATTAAAGTTCTCCAGAGCTATATAGATTTAAGATATGTAGATATGTAGATAGGGATGACAGATATATATCAGAGATTTTTATGGGACCTGGCTTACATAGTCATGAACACTGAGAAGTTTCATAGTTTGCCATTTCCAAACTGGAGGACTAGAAAATCTGGTTTAACTTCTTCTGAGGCTGAAGGCCTGAGAACCAGGAATTTCAATGTTTGAGGGCAGGAGAAGATGGATGTCCAAGCTCAAGGAAAAGAGAAATATTTCACCATTCCTTCACATTTTTGTTCTATTCAGCCCTCAACGGATGGATGCATTAGTGAGAGTGGATCTTCTTTACTTAGTCTACTGATTCAAATGTTAATCTCTTCTGGAAACACCCTCACAGACGTACCCCAAAACAATGTTTTACTAGCTCTGTAGGCATACCTTAGCCCAGCCAAGTTGACATGTGAAATTAACCATCACACAAGGGAACTCAATGTCCTTCATTAGATATACTTAATTTCTGTGTTATTGGTTATTGTATTAGTCTGCTCAGGGTGCCCCAACATAATGCCACAGACTGGGGAGGTTTAAACAGTGGAAATTTTATATTCTCATAGTTCTGGAGGCTGGAAGTCCAAAATTTAGGCTCTGCAGGTTTGGTTTCTGGTGAGGCTTCTTTCCTTGTCTTGCAAACAGCAGCCTTTTTCCTGTCCTCACATGGTGTTTTCTCGATGTGCACACTCCTGGTATCTTTCCTCTTTGTATAAACCCATCAGTCATATTGGATTAGGAAGGCCCTATTTCCAAATATAGTCATATTGGAGGTTAGAGCTTCAACATAGGAATTTGGGGGAGAGGAGGACACAATTCAGTCCAGGACAGTTATCTATAATTTATAAAAGTTGTAAAGTTGCTCAAAGATGTTTAAACATATAGAGACCTTGTAGAATCAGATACTTAGATGATGCCTAATTTTCCATGGAAGATATTTAATAATCATTTTCATCCATTCAAAAGTCATTCACATTTTCCCCTACAATGAAAAAAAAAAGTATTTGCTACTATGTTCATTTCTGAATGCATTTTATAATACTGTTGCATAGTTTTTAAAATTGTGCTAAAATTTAAACTAGTATGGTTTAAATTTTTAAAACATGGTGAGAGGAATTTTACATTGATTTTTTTACTATATGTTTCTACCCAGAAACATGTTTTGTTTGTTTGTTTTAAAGCTCTCATTAAATCTTTGTACATAGGAGACATTCTTTGTATATAGGAATAACTCTTAATTTCAAAGTAATTCATCTTGGTATTGTGAGGGAAATTCCTCTTTCCTTTGTAGTTTTTGAATAATTATCACTGGAACCTAGTGGTTTTTAAAAATAATGAGTTTTGAACCCACCATCTTACATTTTTATATTCATCCTTATAGCTGGGTAAATTGAGAATGTAGGTAATTTGACTACTCATGGTTCCAGTAAGAGCAAATTGATTGCATCTAAGAATAGTGTCTATCTCTTCATGTGTACAAGTGTGTGTTGGGAGGGGGCTGGGTGGGAACTTGAGACAACTATCTTAAGGAGGTCTTCTTGGAATTAACACTATATATCTTGGAGACAGTAGATTCCCAGAGCTGGATTAACCATTTTCTGTAATGGCCTTTCCTGGTTTTGGAAGGAACTAGGAAACAAGGGGTTAATTGTACAAGTAATGAAGTTCTTTGAGATCCATGGGCCATTAGCATACAAATTACTTAACTGCATGTAACTCTTCCCCCAATTTCTGGATACTACTGTTACTTTTCTTTTTGTTTTGTTTTTTAGATTTTATCCCTTTCCTCTTGGAATACTCAGCTTTCTCTGACATAGAGTTCCAGGCTTATTCAAGTCTACTTATGTCAAAGTAAGTGGCAACCTCAACCCGGTCCTACAGCAGCATTAAGCATTCTTGGGACACCTACAGAGATCATCTGGAAGGGATTATTTATCTTAACAGATTTTCAATGCAGATAAAACCTGTCCATTTTGGAGAGAGAGGTCAGAGAACGTATACCAGCCCAGGGAAGAATATTCTGGGTTTTAAAGCTCTAATCCCTTCATACTTCTATTTAACATCCTAGAAATGCATCTAGAGTTAAACTCCTCATGGAGACGTATGAAAAATATTTTCATCTTTCAGAATTTTTTTTTTTTTAATTTTTAAGAATTTATTTATTTATTTGACAGAGAGAGAGGACAGGCAGGGGGTAGTGGCAGGCGGAGGGAGAAGGAGAAGCAGGCTCCAGGGAGAGTAGGGGGAGCCGGATCCCAGGATCCTGGGATCATGACCTGAGCAGAAGGCAGTCTCTTAACCAACTGAGCCACCCAGGAGCCCCTACTTTCATCTTTTGATGCACTGATCTTTTGAAACCAAACCTGTTCCCAAATAAAGGAACTACTGTGTTCTCGAATCTTCCTAGAAGCTTTCCCTAACCCTCAATCTACCCCCAAACTGAATTACCCCTTGTCTGAAATCTTACAACACCTCATTTTATTCTTGTATGGCCTTGTCATTTTTTCCCGGTATTTGTGTTGTTCATGCTTTGGATCTTACCTCCCACACTGTGTGGGACAAGATCCTGCCTGACTGAGCATCTCCCACCGCATTACCCAAATGCTTCGTATATAGGAGACACTCAAGATTAGAAAATTTTCTGGACAGATATTTTGCTCATCTCTAATATCTTTTATATTCTACTGAAAATTACCAATCTCCAACTAACTTCAATTCTGTAGTTTGGGATTTTTAGAAAACTACCCTCCCTTCAAGAAATGCCCAACAATTTAACCAGGGCTAGTGCCGGTTTAGGAATAAGACATTAATGTACTTCTATCACATGAGAATTTGAGGCCTATCTTCATCTTTCCACGTTGTCTAATTCAAGTTAGGGTGGTAAAACAAAATCTTTTTTTTTTTTTTTTTTTTTTTTCTTTTAGCTGTCTGGTCTGCTCCCCTCCTCTGGCCTCATACTTTCCTTTTGTTAGTCAATGATTTCAGCCTCTGCCTTCAAGTTTAACGGTTTGTGCCCCACGCATGCCCCTCTTCTTTTGGTGATTAGAGGCGTTCAGAACTTATTCTGACACGGAATCCTCCCTCATTTCCGATTCCTGTCCTTCTTGGGGTGGAAAGAGTTTCTTCGCTTTGAAACGCTGACAAGGAAAAAGAATGGGGGAGAAAGTTGCATTTAAACGTTTAAAAGTTGAGTCACGGCTGATTGCACAGCAAAAGCTCTGCAGTGTGGAGGAAGACTAAATGTGGCTTGGGTGGCGCAGGGTTGGGCTGGGGCGACTTCTGAGGGGCTTCGCTGGGGTCGAGCCCCTAGAGCTGCGGCGGCCTCCGCGGTCGCCTCCCTGCTCGCCCTCCGCACCTCCCCCGCCCCCGGCTGCGTTCCGGCTCCCCCTCGGACTGATGTCGCGCGCTTGCGTGCTGAGGCCAAAGCTCCCGACCCAGAGGCCGGCCCCAGAAAGCCCGCAGCGAGTAGGGGGCGGCGCGCAGGAAGGGAGGAGGGCCGGGGGCGTGTGGGGGGGTGGGTGTTCGGGGGTGGAGATGTAGAAGATGTGACGCCGCTGCCCGGCCGGTGCCAGACCAGCCGACGCGGTACCGCGGTTGCTGCCGGGTCGCGCGCGGGCGCTGCAGCTACGGCAGGCGGCCCTCCCGAGAGCGGCGGCCGCGGAGACACCCAGCCCGAAACCCCAGCTCCCGAGCCCCGCGGCGCCCCGCGCTCTAGGGCAGCGGAGGGGGAACCGGCGGAGCGGCTCCAGGCTGGGGGCCCGCGGGCGCGGCCGCGCGCTGCCGGGCGGGAGGCTGGGGGGCCGGGGCCGTGCCCGTGCCCCGGACCGGGTCGGGGGCCGGGGCCGGGGGGCGGCGGCTCCCCGCGCGGCTCCAGGGGCGCGGGCGCCCCGGCAGAGCTCAGGCGGGGCCATGGCAGCCGGGAGCATCACCACGCTGCCCGCCCTGCCGGAGGACGGCGGCAGCGGCGCCTTCCCGCCCGGCCACTTCAAGGACCCCAAGCGGCTGTACTGCAAAAACGGGGGCTTCTTCCTGCGCATCCACCCCGATGGCAGAGTGGACGGGGTTCGGGAGAAGAGCGATCCTCACAGTGAGTGCTGGCCCGCTCTTCCTTCCCCATCCCATCTCCATCTTCTGTGGTTCTCTCCCCCGTCCCTCCATTCCAGCTTCTTCCTTCTCGTCACTCTGACCTCAGTGGGACCTGTGGTTTCTTTCCGCGCAGCCCTCAGCGGTCTCGGGTTCACCACTCGCCCCCACCTCCCCGGAGCTGCGGTATCGGGTTAGACACTTCCCGGGGCTTCGGAGTGTGCCAGTTTCCCCTGGTAAACCAGTCCCCTGGGCCCAGAGCCGCAGGGTGCCTGGGCCTGGCCTTCGCACAACCTGTTGCTTAGGGGATGCCCGGCGGCGGAGAGGTGAGCGGGCTAGCTGAGATGCCGTCCGGGTCCCCACCCTGAAGTTCCAATCCCTTCTGTGTTGGGGGCGCGCAGTCCCACTGTCGGAGACAGAGGGACCAAACTTGAATTAAGTGTTTTTTTTTTTTTTAAATTAAAAATTTTTAAAAAAAAAAGATTTTATCTATTTGAGAGGCAGGCAGAGAGAGGGGAGGAAGCAGGCTCCCTGCGGAGCAGAGAGCCCGACGTGGGGCTCAATCACAGGACCCTGGGATCATGACCTGAGCCACCCAGGCGCCCCGAATTAAGTGTTCTTTATTGGAAAAATACCTTCCCAGAGCATTAAACTCCGATTTGGTAGGATTCGAGCCAGCTGGCACACTGCTCTCACCCATCTATTTCTAATTTTTTCCTAATTGCCGAAAGCTTTCAGAGCAATAGATATGGACTTTGTTAATAAAGTGCGACACACTTCTGTTTCAACAGTGATGAGAACCGCAAAAGCTTTAATCATCCGCCTGCAATTGTTAGCTTTGGGACCTTGAGCCTGTTTCCTCAGATTTAAAGTGGGGGCGATGTCTACCTTGCATCAGGTTTGAGGCTCAAATGAGAGCTTATATACAGCGCTGGGAGGTCTCATTTCACGAGTGTACACTTTTGTGTTCAGTAAAAAATAATCTATTAGTGGTTATAGAAATAACGCTGGCCTACAGTCATTGGTTCTCAAACTTGAGGGGTGCATTAGGATCCCCTGGGGGGTTGTAACAAATTGCTGAACCTTGTCTCCCGAGTTTGAGTCCTTGGGTCTGGAGTGGGGCCTGATGATTTGCATTTGTAACGAGTTCCCCAGGTGGTGCTGACCTGGGACCACACTTTGAGACCAACTGGTCTATAGAAAACAGGAAGAAAGGGGTATAAAATGGGTTGATTAACAACACTGGTGGACTCTGAAATGGGAGAAAGAAGATCAGAGTATATTTTAACTGGCATCCTGTAAGTGCAGGTGAAACAGCCGTTTTAAAAGCCCTGCGTTTGGCCTTCTTTTCTGGGTTTCAGATGAAGACTCTCCTCCTCTATTTTCCTGAGAAAAGACCTCCCCAGGTACAAGCTTCACTCCCCAGTAGTTACCTCTTTATCACAAGATGCTGATGGAACGTCATTCACACCTGTGAGGTGACACAGGAAGAGGCCAAAGCTTTGCCACCAAACCTGGGTTGATGAATGGGAAATGTGCTTTTATATTGGGTCTTTATTGATTCCAAAATAGCAACCAGCAAAAGATGCAGCTCTTTAATTTTTTTCGGGTCTGATGTAATTTTAAATTTTTTTTTTTTTTTAAGATTTTATTTATTTGACAGAGATCACAAGTAGACGGAGAGGCAGGCAGAGAGAGAGAGAGAGAGAGGGAACCAGGCTCCCTGCTGAGCAGAGAGCCCGACACGGGACTCGATCACAGGACCCTGAGATCACGACCTGAGCCGAAGGCAGCGGCTTAACCCACTGAGCACCCAGGCGCCCTGTAATTTTAAAATTTTATCAATCACTTACATTATCCAGTAAAACTGCAAAGGTACTTGTAACCCTGTATATATGGGTTAGTGCTGTTTCTCTATTTTAGTAACTTGAATAGGTTTCACAAAATAAAGTTTTGTTTTCATTTTTTTTAAAGATCTTATTTATTTATTTGTCCAAGTGAGAGAGAGGGAGAGAGAGAGAGGGCACAAGCAGGCGGAGCAGCAGGCAGAGAGAGAAGCAGGTTCCCCACTGAGCATGGAGCCCAATGTGGGTGTGGGGCTTGATCCCAGGACCCTGAGATCATGACCTGAGCCGATGGCAGAGGCTTAACCCACTGAGCCACCCAGGCATCCCCAAAATTAAGTTTTAAACTTTGTGTTTGAAGTTTGTTTTGCAATTTTCTTTTAGGCCAGCACAGCTGATTAGGGTCAGGTGCATGTATGTCCCAAATAATTTTGTTCTTTTCTAGTAGTGCAAACTGTCTGTAATGATAAAGGAGCATGTTCTATGACTAAAAGACAGAAGAACTCTCCACCAGATTAGGTTCATATTGGGGCTTCCCCTAATGCCTTTTTTTTTTTTTTTAAAGATATTTTATTAATTGTTGAATCTTTTTTTTTCTTTGAAGCTTTTGATATTCTTTCTTTTAGAATAAAACTATATAGAGGATAGTGAGTTAGGATAATTCTGAATTGCATAGCATACTACTGCCCTTGTAATAACAGCTGTTAACTTTTTCTTCCCACCTATGAATTTTTCATAATCTTATTTTAACTCACTGGTTCTCAAAGGGGGGGTGGTGACTTTGCTCCTGCCCGACACCCTCAACATTTGGCAAGGCCTGAAGACATTTTTGGTTCATATTTGGAATGGTGCTACTAGTACCTAGTAGGTAGAGGCCATAGATGCTGTTAACTGTCCTACAATGCACAGGATACCTCCATTATCCCCAGCAAAAAATTTTCTGACCCCAAATGTTAATAGCGCTAAGGTTGAGAATCCTGCCAACTTCACAACAAGCTAAAGACAGCATGTTGAAACTGAAGAGTAGAATACTCATCCAGATTTGTGGAAGGTAGGGATTTTTTTTTTTAATTTACTTTTTACTTTTTAAATTTTTTTATTAACATATAATGTATTATTAGCCCCAGAGGTACGGGTCTGTGAATCATCAAGCTTACACAGTTCACAGCACTCACCATAGCACATACCATCCCCAATGTCCATAACCCAACCACCCTCTCCTTACCCCCTCCCCCCGGCAACCCTCTGTTTTGTGAAATTAAGCATCTCTTATGGTTTGTTTCCCTCCCAATCCATCTTGTTTCATTTCTTCCTTTCCTACCCACCCCCCCTAACTCCCCATGTTGCTTCTCAACTTAGGTACGGATTTTTTTAAAATCACCTTTTACCAATAGACTGAGAAGAATAAAAACCTAAAATGACGAATTTAGACCACTTCAGTGTAGCACAACCTGGAAATAAGTTTAAGTACAGTATATTTTTCTGGCATGTCAAAGATGTACTGATAGTTGACCAAACCAGGACAAGACTGATGGGAAAGATACAAGAAAAAAAATGATTATGGACACGATATAACAATATTTTCCCAACCACGTCTCCTCCATTACTTAACCAAACAAGACTGACCAGAAAACATGGAGAAAGGAAAGCAGAGTTAATGGTCGCCTCAGTTTCCTATTGAATTATGGCTCAGATATGCAGACATACTTGAAAAGTTGAAAAACCTCAAATGGTTTTGTCCAGTTGACCTGAAAATCTCCGATTTTGCCAATTACTTTGGAATTAGCATTTTCTGCCCAGATGTCTTCTAAAATGCAAATAGCTTTAAAAAGAAGAGTTCAGTCATTATCAGATGTTAACATTTAGTGTGAGTTAAATTGTGAGTTTAATTTCTTCCCCATACCTGAGCAAGACTGGAATTTAAGGAGGGATTGTATAAATGTGAGGTGCCAGTTAGGTATGGGGGATGTGGCTCAGGTGCTAAAGGGGAGACAAGGCAGGGAGGTGTGGGGCAGAGGGCAGAGACAGAAAGGAAAGGGGAGGGAGAAGATGACTGAACACCAGTTTTGCTTCTCAGTGTTGTTGAAGGTCACTTTTGCTTCACACCTGGTATCCTCCTGTGTTGTTTTCACTTGAAAGGGCTGATTTCCTGCACATTCCTCATAGTCCTGGAGTAACTTGCATTCGACATGAGAGTTTTGATAAAGGCAAGATGTGATAACAGAGTCTATTTCTCCAGCATGTGTGCCGCTCACCTGGCTTCCTTTTGGTATCCTGGATGTTTTGATTGGCCTCTTCAAACACCCATGGGATTGTGGAACATTAAGTATATACTCTAAAGTCATGAGCCATGTAAAAACTTAGGAAGAGAGAACATTTTATCCCAAGGAGCACGTACATACACCCTGTGCTGGAGAGCAGTGAGTGAAATGTATGCTGCTTATGGAGATTTTAGCATTAAATGTGTTCCAGATGCTCTTATTTGGGAAAAAAATGGCGTTAGTTGGCTGTTTCTACCCTTGGGCTTCTCCTAGGAGGTTTGCTATACTTCTCTGCTTCCAGGCCCTAAAGAACACTGAGACTTGGAGAGGCAGAGGGACCTGCCCACTCCTGTGTGGAGCAGGGATGGGATCCTGGCCCGCCTGACACCCATGCCCTTTGCCACGGCACATATTCCATGTAATTCCAGTCATAAAAACAAGGGCTTGTGAAATTCAGAGGGAGGCGTCAGGCCTTGTAGTTCACCGTTCTTGTTTTATAGAAGAGAGGATTGAGGTTCAGAACAGTGACTGATGACCTGAGTTCCTCGGCTATTTTCCCTGGTGATCATCCTGAGTGAGCTTCTTACCTACCTGGTCCCTTGCCTTGTCTTCCTGCCCTCCCCCAGCCTCACTGCACTCTTCCATTCAGTCTCGAGGGCCCCCCTTTATGGGCTTCCTCCATTTCATAGCACTGGCCAAGCCAGGCCCACTGTGTAGTGGAGTTCTTAACTAGTTCATAGGTTGCTTCTAGATGTGTTCCTGGGATATTGGATAAAGTCACCTTTCTTCCCTCCCTTTATGTAAATGGCACCACTGATGCAATGATACTAGACTCTTTCCTCCCATCTCTTTTGGGTAATATCTGGCAAGTGGATCCCACTAATTTGCCTTATTAAGCA